CATCTGACGCTTTCAGTACAACATGGAGTTATCCTTTAATTTTAAGATCCGAAATTAGTTATTTTGTTAGAAATAATTGAAAATGATATAACATTTATACTTCTTACCACATGATCTACGTAAAGCTGTAATCAAGCGATGATTATTTTTATGTGCAAATATTATTTATAGAAGAGAAATGAATGTTTATAATTTTCATAATCATTTTTATTGATGTTATTTTTTGATTTTCAACAAGTATTAAAATACAGTTGGTATTACTTTATTCTTTCTTTATTTCGTAATATGTTGCTTTTTAAATTTTGTAAATATCATTCTTAGTTTGATTTTTATGAGCATTATCCCAAACCTTTGCAAATTCGTCAAAGGGAGGAACGATACTTTCTCTCGGCACTAAAAGGGTTAAACTTTAAACTTAGCCAGTAAACAATTTCGTTTTAAAATATTTGAACAGCGTATTAAAATATACTGCTTTAAATTTTTTTATAAATTCACTTTACTCTTCTAACGTTGTAGAGACATTAGGTTAATTGGAAAAGCCGGAGAAAGGAAAAATTAGCAACCGCCTTCTTCGAGAATCGAACCATCGACCTCTGGAATATCAGCCCAGAGTGCGGAACCACTACACTACGAAGGCACGTTAAGAAGGTGGGATAAATACCTTATATATTCCTCCTTCTACAGGGCGACTGGGGTTTTTAGGGGACCCAATCGCCAAATCCTGGGTGTGGAGAATCCTCATTCAACACCCTTTTAGTTCGGGCGTCACTGTAGAGATATTAGGATTTTTGGAGGCCGGAGTGATGAAAAATTAGCAACCGCCTTCGCCGGGAATTGAACCACGGACCTCTGGAATACCGGCCCAGCGTGCCGAACCACTACACCACAAAAGCACGCTAAGAAGGCGGGAGAAATACCTTATAACGTAACAAATTAAGGAGGAATTTGTAAACTTCCTAAGTATTTATTACTTGGATTAATAACTTGGAAAACTATTATGAAAACAGAACTTTTAAATGCATTCCCTCTTGCATCTGGGGAGTTATTTATATAAAATTACTTTCTTGTATTAGTTATGTCATTTAAAAGTTTAGAATGTGAAGACTTTCGCTTTCTAAAATGCTGAAATTTTATTACAGCTGTTACTGTTTCATCCCAGTCCAGTGAAACAGTATTAGTAAGAATTAACCTTCGATAGCAAAACATTCGAGGGCAATTTGCTTTGGAACAGGTATGCTCATGGAAGACGTTTTTATGAGAAATTAACTCCTATTTATATATGATTTTTAAAAGGTTTTAAAGACTGACATTTTATTCAGGTTCAATTGAGTCAGATGTAGATTTTCCTTGCCTCTAAAGCCCAATCTTTTACACTGAATCATATTTTTACAACGCTTTATAGATCTTGAAAACCATGAAACAGACGATGTTGTTACACTTCCATTAGCAATGCGGCTGTAGAGTTTTCCCCTCCTCATCTGCAAACGATCTCATTTCGTTCAGTTGTCTTCTCAGTAATGAGAAATTATCTTGTTCTATATTAGAGACATATGGAGTGTATTTTAGAACTCCTCTATCGATTTCGGATAGTGCTGTTAGTGCCACAGTAGTAAAATGCAGCCGCAAATTCTAAAGCAAAAACATTATTTCCTTGACCAAATCTTTTTTTTTAAACCTCACAAGCAAATGAATACAAATGAATTTACAAGATGTTTGCTTAAAAGTTGAATTTCGCTATTTGTCCATGGGCGAGAAATGTTGGCATCTGTAACCACAATGATTGACCTGCTTTAAGTTACTTTATTTATGATTCGAGTATTGCTCACCGTCTAGCACAAAATTCTATCATACTTCTGCCGTATTGACGAAACGTGTTAGATGCCCCACTTGGAGCGGGCAAATAGGGCTTTCAGATACATTAGTGTATCACTTTCATAAATGTCAGTATAGGGTTGGTATATCTTATGTTAAGGCAGAAAAATGGAAGTAGTCTTAAACCTGTTCAATCAACCCTTGTAATTTACATATCTGAAAAAGAAGGCAATGAAAACAGCTTCTTAAATAGCATAACTTTCCTTCCAGCCGCAAGAACCGAATTTTGGACGAAATTGCCAGTGTCCATTGTTTTCACGAACACGGTTTATTATGCGTAATAGAAAAGTAAGAACTTATTTCATGTACCTTTAAAGAGAATGGTTCACCGCAACCGAAGACTATACTAACCATACATATATGTTTTATGAGCCTGGCTTTATGAAAAACTTTCGAAAGTGAACTAGCTCGTATTTATGTTAAGCGAAAGAAAATTTGCAAAAGCATCTATGTAATCAGTTAATTTCACTTCCGGATTTGGAACCCGAAGAAAACTATCTGTGTTTATTAGTTTTAACCATTAAATAATTAGGATACTGATAATGAACAAACGTGGATAGCGAATGCAAAGAAAGCTTCGTTGAGACAGCAAATGAAAAGCCTGCAAAAACATTCCGGAGTACTAAGCTCCATCGAAATTTTTCATTCTATTATTTCATCAATCTAGCAAATATTTTAAAACAAAGTGAAGCGTAACAAATGTTTTCTAAAAGGGTGTAGGGGCTTACGTTATTTTTCCATTGTTAGTTTTTAGTTGGTAATAGCTTTCCTTTACTCACTTATTTTTCTACCTACATTTTCCGGCCAGAAAGAGTATTCCGTTTTAAGTTTTATGCAAAATAAGGGAAAAACTACTATTTAAGCTGAGGTCTGAGCTCTTCAGTTAGAGCGTGTTCTGCTTTTCGGCCACGTTGTTGTTACGAGTTAAAGCTAGCTATCATAAAAGTGAAGTAATTTATGAATCATTTGAGGCGTGTTTCTCTTTTGTCTTGAGTTAAAGCTAGCTAGTTTACTGCTTTGCTTATTACGTGCCTGTTAGTCTACGCTTGTGATTTTAGCTAAGAGCTAATACGCGTTATCAACTCTGTGCAGCTGAAGCTGATTATTATACTTCACTAGTTTAGTTTATGTTTTCTATTTTTAAGTTCAAGCCATAAGTGCCGGCTTTCTGTACGCCCTAATGGGGCCGTCCGTAAATATCTTGAGTTAAAATAAAAGGGTATTTTAGACCTACTTAGCGATTAGTCGCTTCACAGTTATACTAAGTTCTAGCAACCAAATAACTTTATTTTAGCCAGAGCACTACAAGGTTTCTAATTTTTTACCTCTTCATATAAAATAATTTGGTATCTGCTTAAATAATTAATTACATTTAATTATTTAATTTCAGGCTACGCATACAGAACAAGAGATGGAGGAAACAAAGCATTCAGTCTGAGAGATGGAGGAAACAGAGCACTCGGATTCGAATCCCAACTGCACAGCCCGCCGAGTGACATTTCTGCTGTAAAAACTTTCCGCTTAGCATACCTAGTTCTCTGGAATGAAGCTATGCAAAGGAAATGCTTGAAAAGCGCGGAAAATCTTTATGACGACCAAGAATTAATGAATCTTCATTCTAATTCTGATTACAATATCAAATCGCTTTGTTTGCATTTTAATAAATATCCGCCGCGGGCAAATAGAGCTGACACTAAAACAGAAAATTATCATCTCCGGGCTTCTTTTATTCCTAGGCTGGGCAAAAAAAGCAGTAATTATGTGGTATGATTTCAATGGTTTCAGCTGCGTGAAGCAAACGAACAACTTGAGTGATGAAGTTACTCCTTTCCTCTAAGAAATACTATTCTGTGCAATCATCCTTTTCACATCTAGTCAAGTCTGGCATTTATTTTATACTGTTTTCTAATTTTTGCACTGCATTCTCATTTATTCAAACTAAAATCTGATGATATTTATTTCCCTGTATAAAGTTATTATTCTTTGAAAGTGTTCGTAAATTATGAGGCATTTGTAATAAATACCGTCTTAAATAAATGTGCCGGAATGAATAAAAATATTAAATCAAAATCTACTTCTTGAGTATTATTCTTTGATTACAAGCATCTAAAACATGAATTCTCAACTTAATATTTTTATTTAAGGTATTAAAACATTTTTGTGGCTTAATCTTCTGAATAAAGAGGCACTCAAAGTAAATAAGACTAGAAATGCGAAAAAAGCATACACTTGTTCATAGGTAATATTTAATTCAGGTTAACCAGGGAAAAACACAGTCTCAGCTTTTTACAGCTTTTTCACAATTTGTTTAATAAAGCTCTCTTGTCTGTTTGTTTAGAAGCTCCTCTCACTGGACCATCTTGCTTAAATATATTTGTTTTTCTTTCGCAAACATCACAGAGTGATTTATCTTTCATTCGCAAACATCAATTATGCCAAGAAATAATTTATAATTTAAGCCTAAATTCTTTAGGAATGAAAATTTGATAAATAAACTACTAAATTAAGCACCACATTTTAATCTTAGGTAAGAAATACAGTTTAAATATTACTGATATCTGAAAGGTTACCTCTGATATATTCACATGAGAATAGATACAGCAGAAGCAAGATAACATCAAAATTAGTCTCAATCTGGCTTTAATTAAAAAACCTTAACGCAAAATATTGCTCCTTGAGGAACACAGATCTTTTCGAATCGCTGTTATAAACACAAAAAGCATTTTTTCCTTTTTAAAATCAGAGCTTGTGAAAGTTTTCAGTTTGACCTAAGTTTGCCTAAATTCTAAATGCCTTTGTTTTCCTTTGAACATTTACATATTTAAAAAATTCTGCTAAGAAATTTAAGTAAAAAACATAAGCTTACCGCTAATCATATTCTCATATAATTAACAAATAAAATATCTCCTGAAGCAAATCCCATTTACATCCTGCTTTTGATCACAGACAAAAATTATAAAAGTGCCTATAAAAATTTTACTTTGCAAATGCAGAAAAGCTGTTCTAATGTGATAAATATTTGTAGGTTATTATGAAATGAATTATGTTTTTATCTTATTCCACAGTTTTTGAAATAAAGTAAGCAATTCCTGGAATAGAGATCAAGGAAAAAAAAAACTATAGGTCTGTCCAGATTAGCACAATTATTTTATTTATTTATATTTTTTTATTTTCCTTCATGATAAGAACAAATGATACACAGCGAGAAGGTAATGCTTCAATACACGTTCCGCATGCAAGAGGAAATTACATATCTTCATGTGTAAACAACACTTGAAGAGTTAGTAATACAAGAATAATTTCACTTTGTTATTAAGGTACTAAAAGAAATAGCTGCTTTCTTTAAACTAAGACATTAAATTTATGCCTTTCCGGGTTTTTTTCCAGTTCATTTCTTCCATTACAAAACATCAGTCGGGTATTACTTAGACCAGTATAATCTTTCTGATCTTCCTAATCTGGGTGTGAAGGCAGTGCCTGCATTCATATTGATGACATGTTGAGCTCTACCACTGATAGCTGCAGGCTGAGGATTGTTCTTTTCTTCTGATCGTTTTCTTCCTAATCTAGGTGTGAATGAAGACGGCAAATGTATTGTTTTAACATTCTCCCTGTTGCGGCTCAAGCGCAGCAGTGGCTGCAAATAACGCATTTTGCTGATGTCTTCTAAATTACTTTCCAGCAATGCATCTCCACTGTCAAGAGATCTTTTACGCCGATCAGCACGAGGCTTGTATGGCGTACGAGAAGGAGCAAACATAGTAAGGTATTGGATCTCACTTTTTGGTGTGACATCCTTCCACTTCATTTGCCTTAGGACAGATGCTGTAGGGGAAGTTCCAGCTTCAACGACTAATTCTGAGTGCTTTTCGAAAGGTTTAATGGGTCTGTCAAATTCATAATGAGGTACTTGTTCTTCCGAATCACTAGCCAATAATGGTGTTTCGTAAAAATAAGGGAAATCTGTAAAGCCTGTAAAAAATAATTTTTAGTAACATATTTTTAACTTGAAGTAATTCTTATATAAGACATAGCTTTTTTTTAAAAAGTTACTACTATTAACAATATATTACTAATAACATTTACAAAAGTTATTTATTAATATGAAATCTAGAAACACAGTAATAACTTAAGAATAAGAGTTTTTTAAAAAAAATAATTTGATGGAATAAAGGATTCACGAAACATCAAGAAGGCTTTATAATAAACTGCTGTAAGAACTCTAGGAAATTTAATTAGATTAAATTTAAGCATGAAAATTAAACATGAAAGATAAGATAAAGAAGTTATAATTTTGATATATGTGCATTTGAAACAAATTTTCAGTTTATGTAGCTTTTATTGTTTCTCTGACAATTTTTAACCCCTTTGCTTTAATATTATCAGAAAGTTTCTTATTAGAGACTTACTGACATTTAAAATGGAGAATATTCCTTTCGAGCTTTATATATATATGTAACATAAGGAGCAAGGTTTTTATTATATGCATTTAGGATTAAGAAGAAGGAGATTTTATAGCTTAACAAACTGTTGGAATCTGAGCTTTTAATGTTGAAATACTATGAGAAGAAGGAAACTGAATTATAATGCCATATATTATCTTGAAAACAACTGATGCATGAAATTTAAATGACATCTTCTAAGAAATATTAAAAAAAGTAATATCTCATTAACTTTTAATTGTAGAACATTAAAGACTTGTCGAACGTACTTTCATATCAATAAGCATACAATCATACTATTAAACTTGAATAGTTAAAATAACGTAACCACTTCGAAATCTTATAAGTCTCCATGGTCTTTTGGAAATGTAAGTACAATGTGACTCCCATCTCTACAGAAAATATTTACCTCACTAAAATGATAATTTTTTCATTTCTTTAAAAATTATTTGTAATGCATTTGGTATATTGGTATTGGTTACCACTGTTAGGAGAATGTATGCAATAACGAGAAGCATACAAAGGAATCTAATCTTCACTTCATACCATTAGCACAAGGCCTGTTTATCATATGCTTGTTTTATATAGTATGTGCCACTAATCTGATATATAAGTTATTAACTTTATTAGTTAAAAAAACTTATGTTCCTTCTCTGATGAAATGTAAGGCTAATCAATCTACGGATTTCAGGGCGATGATGCAAAGAGGTGAGTGACTCTACCAGCACGGTAATACAGCCCTAGATAAGTACAGCTATAGCTAAAAAGAACAGATTGATGGACTACAAGAATGGAGAACCCGTGTTTACATTGATAATGAATGCCAAGTTAGCGAAGTCAAATAATACTTCATTGATAATTGCAAAAGTTCATGCCTTATTGCAAAATATACATAGTATATTTTGTTTATTTGTCTCCAGTTTAAATACTGAATTTATTTCATTTTAACTAAAATAAATAAATACAGAAAAAAACGACAGTTCAGTATTTATTGATTTTGTTTAAATACTGAAACAAAATGTTTTTCACATTAGTTCGTATCATAAAAGAAATTAAAAAAAATTTTCTTGAAAAAGTGACTCTTGTTACAATTTAATGATAAAATAGCACTCTAGGACCAAGAACTGTTGCGTAATGACTGCATAATTTTTCTGCATCAATTTTTTTCTAATGCCTAAAATAAAATCGCAGAAAACCTTTATGTTACATCTTCAAAAATGTTATTATTATGTTTTTGAACTTAAAATTTGTATTTTTCTCTATTTAAGTTTCATCGTCACCTAGATTTAAATCACATCAGCCTGAAACAGCATTTTCTTATTATTTTCCCCGAAATTTTATAGTTTTAAACTTTATTATATCTTAAAAGCTTTAATCTTATTTTCTTCTTCTACACTAGCAATTATATACCCTTTACTGTCGAAAGCTTCTCAGTTTTAACGCATGTATCAAAGTTTTGCAATTAATAATCACTCCGATTGTTATACCTTTCCTGCAGTTTTTTGTTGCTGGAAACTGCCCGTAAACTCTTACCATTCATAAAACGAAAATGTATCATCATCTTAATCAGTATTTTTACATAGTTAATGTTCAATTTTCAGTAAGGAATATTCGAAAATGTACTAAACTTCAAATCTTTATTTATTTTACCAGAAAAACAACATAAACTAGTCTTTGACTACATTGCTTTATTTATATAAAGAAATTTTATGTCTGGTATTGACCGAAAGATAAAATATTTGTCTATTTCGTGCCATTGCACATTTGCTGTAAATCTATTTACACTAGTTAACTGACATGCAATTTTTTCTAGAACTCCTTCTTTCTTCCTTCCAAATTACATTGATAATTTGGAAGCAAAATTAAGTAATAATAATAATAATACAATTTGGAAGTAAACATAAGTAATAATAATATAATTTTGAAGTAAAAAATAAGTAATAATAATAGTAATAATGGAAGTAAATAATATAATGTTCCATGTTTACCAATGTTTTATACTGTTTTCATCACTTTTGCTTTTATCTTAGTTGGTGATTTTATATTGAATGCTGAAGTGAGTAGAAGCAATAATCTTACCTGCATAATGCCAAGCATTTAAAAGTCAAATTAAACCGTTAATTTGCCAGTTATGGCGCAGTAAAATAGAAGAGACTTTCTACATTTTACGCTTCTCTTTCTAGAGTTCTTTACAAAATTTTGCCAGCAAAATGGGTTTTATCAGGCCTAGGGACTAACGTAAAAAAACGATAATTGTAGAGGACCTGTAGTAGTTGCTAGCGAATTGCATTAAATTTAATGCAAGGAAAAAACCTTTTGTAAGTCTAATCAGATATTCTGAGTTGCTTAAGTTGGTTGCTTTGATTGTTTGTTTAATTCATTATGGCAAAATATGCGAGAATTCCCCCCCCCAAAGGGAACAATTAATTTGTGACGCTATTTCTATAAGATACTGATTACATTCACGTTACACATGGGGAGAACTACAGAAACATCCATACAACTATCCCGCTCGCCCTGATTCGAACTCTATCAAAGGACCAGCGTTCAGCAAGCTTCCCCATTCGGGTGTTAGGGCTCTGTTTCAAATTTAGGATACAACTATCAGCAGCCATCTCCCATTCATCTTGTTTAAAGTCAAGATGTTATTTGGAATTTATTATTAAATAAGCTACTACAATTTAGCGTTTTTTTTTCAAGGAATATAAATCCAGAATTTGTAGTAACTGAAATTTTAGAAATGCTATAAAACATAGTAAATATTACTCATAAAAAATAACGGAATAGGACAGGAGGCTATTCATATTACTAAACAAGCTAAGCATATTACTAAAACTCTACAATTAAAATTTAAAATATTCAAAAATATTTTAATTTTTAGTTGAAAGTTAGTATTTTGTCATTTGGTGACCATCTGAAACCGATGACTTCTTCACTTAATTCGACAAAACTGAATATTTGCAATAACTTAATAATTCACAAGCTGTGTATAAAAGTAATTCAGTACTTATGAAAAATGTCTGGGAATTTTTAAATTACGAAGTCTAACAGAAACATGTGAATACCTCCATGACATGTGAACACGCCTTTTAAGATAAAAAAAACCCTCTAACTACTCCGAACACTGTTAAGCACACTATTAATATTTAACTCTACCCCCCCCCATCTATCGTCTCTTTTTGTTCCTATTTTTAAAGAATTTTCCATTTTGCATGTCTTCCTGAGCCTTTAATAATACTAATTCCTGTAACAAATACTGTAACTGCTGAGCATTTAATAATACTAATTCCTGTAATTAAAAATGTAATTGCTGAGCCTTTGATAATACTACTTGCTTCTTTTTTATCTTTTACCTGTACAATAACTAGAACATATTTAACCGTGTAATTTATTCCAAACATTGCCTAGTGGTCATCACCTGTATAGATTCCACCAGAAATCTGAAGTCATTAGTACACGTCAGCCAGTATCAGCTGCGTGATAGTTTGACTACAATATATAATTACATACATTATAAAAGTTCCTTGTTTCTTTCAAATGAAGAATGCACTTAAATTTGTCATCATTGTTATGTATGACTATTTTTATAACTAGGTGGGATGGTGCATTTATTAGCTTTTATTTAAATTTTACAGAAATTTGTTACTGAATATGCTTTTGATAATAATAATGAAACTTCTTGCCAAAGTTTGCAATTCGAGATATTTTGAATGAAAAGAGTTTTACTTGTAGTATAATTCTTAATCAGAATGTTAGACTGTCATCATATGTATCTAATCATGAGGGGCTAAATTCTCTAATTTCAGCAAACGTTTGTTTTAAAGCAAAGGTTTTAGAGAAAAAATAATGAAATAATTTTAAATTAAAGAGGTGAAATCAGAAATACGAGTTTTATGATAGATCATTTAAAATAATTTGCATAAATTAATTTTTTCTCAGCTGTATGAAAAACTAATGAAGAGATTTACGATATAGTTAAATGAAAATTAGAAATAAATTGCATATCTGTCAAGTTGCACTTTTGAAATATAAAATGCTGGCAAATAACCTAACAGATACCCACCAGTAGCAGAGGGGTAAGAAAGCTGAGCCCTGATAGATCAACCTGGGCTCATGTCTCGGAGAAAGGGCTGCATGAGAGCTCTAGGGGATTTCTTCACGTACAATGTCTGTACGAGCCAGTTTCTCCTAAAAAGTCCTCTATGAAAGATTCCCTTCTCTAAGGCATACAACCCTCGTGTGCTTTGCCAAAGTCCAAGTAACTCTTAATAACATAATCGTAGGAATATATGTTGGTAAATAACATATCTGACCTTCGCATAACTCATCTTATGTACAGTGAAATTACGATAACCATCATTCAGTACTTACTCAGCGACTGATGGTAATGAAAGCTTTAAATGTTTCACATTCATCTTTTAAACACACAACGAAAGGTCTAATAATTATTAGAAATTAGTTGTTTATTAAAGACTACAATATTTAAACTTTAAATGTGTACTGTCCTTTTGCAATATATAGAATTAAGAT